CATTGGTTCTTTATATTTATACTCTCAACTTCATTAATTTTTTGCTCTGATCTTTACAATTTACTTCCTTATACTATCTTTAGATTTGGATTGTTCTTGTTTCTATAGTAACTTGAAATTCATCATTAGGTTACTTACTTGGAATCAAGTCTTTTTCTGATGTAAGCATTTATAGCTTTAAATTCCCTATTAAGACTGCTTTCATTATGTTCTTTTAAGTTCTGATATCTTTTACTGGCTTTATGCTTTGATTCTAGGAGCCATCTAATGTCTTCCTTGAATACTTCTGTGACCCACTAATTATGAGAAGAGTATATTGGTTCATTTACATGTGCTTGCATATTTTCTCTGGTTTCTTTTGCCTTTGATTTCTAGTTTCATTGCACTGTGATCTAATAATATGCATGGGATAATTTTTATTCTTTTTCATTTGCGTATGTGGTCTGCTTTGGAAAAAGTTCTGTGTCCTGCTAAGAAGAAAGCATATTCTGTTCTCAGACAGAATACTCCATATGTATTTATTGAGTCAGTTTGTTTCTACTTTAATATTTCTTTGTGGAGTTTTTTGGTTTTTGTTTGGTCTAGTTTATATCTCAGTTTGTGGCTGTGGCACATTGAGGTCCCCCAGTATAATTGTGTTGATGTCTGTGTGATCTTTTATGTCAAGTAGTGTTTGTGTTATGAATTGGGCTTGCCCCCTTTTGGTGCATACATATTGATAACTTTTATGTTTTCCTGTTGAATTATTTTCTTAAGCAATGTGTAGTAGTGAGCTACTGTGTCTTTTCTCACAGGTTTAGCATGAAGTTTACTTTGTCTGATAGTCAAATTGCTGTAGTCCTGTTTGTTTTACTGTTCTCCTTGTATAGAACATTGTTTTTTATCCTTTGGTTTTTCAATCTATGCATTTCTTTATATTTAAGTGTGTTTCTTTCATACAGCATACTGTTGAGGTTTATTTTGTGATCCATTCTGCCAACCTATGTCTTTTGATTGGTGAATTAGGGCCATTCACATTGAAAAGTATGCCTGAAGGGTATTACCTTGTTCTTTTCAATACATTATTTTCCAGTTACTGATTGCTCTATTTTTCCCTTCTGCTTAGTTGCTCATGCTGCCCTATGTATTGATTCTACTAGACATTTTGATATTGTTGGCTTCATTGTCTCTAGAATATCTCTTAGAATCTTTTGGAGTGCTGGTTTATTGCTCATGAATTTCTTAAAGTGTTCTGTATGGTAGGAAGATCTTATTTCTACATCAATTTTGAAAAATAGTTTTGCAAGAAATAACAGTCTGGGTTGGAAGTCGTTTTATTTTAAGGCTTGAAAACAGTCTACTCTAGGCTGTATTGACCCAGACTAAAAAGTCCCTTGTAATTGTAGTGTGTGTACCTTTATAAATGATTTACATAATACTTTTAAGAGCTTTGTGTTTTCTTTTTTTTTTCATTTCATGTATTTGGTACAGGGTTTCACTATGCAGCTCATACTCATTGAGGTCCTCCTGTTTTAAGCCTCCCCTGAGCTGGGATTACAAGCCTTCACCACCACACATGGTTTTGCTTTTATTTCTATAAACAGGATTTTATGCCATATGTGAAGTCTTCTGATTTTTCACTAATTCGAGTTCATGTTTAATTATTTAATTTTGAATCATCTAGCATCCTTTGGATCAATTTTTTTATATCTTCTCATTGTTTTAAAAGTATTTCTAAGTATATAGTCACTAGCATCAGTCCTGTCTTCAAGTGTTGCTCTGTCCTCACTATACGCCACTTCTGTTGACCATAAAGTAAGTGAGTGAGTGAATGAGTTCTTCCTTTGGTACAGGATCTCACTGCACATCTCAGACTCAGAGATCCTCTTGTCTCAGCCTCCCCAGTGCTGGGATTACAGGCATGCTCAGCACCCAGACCATTATGTCATGCAGTACTGGGGATCAAACCTGGGTCCTTGCGCTTGCCAAGCAGACACTTAGATCACCAAGCTATCTCCCCAGCCTAGAGTACTTTCAGTAAGTAAAATTTTTCTCCTATATTTGTGTTTGGGACGTTTTTATGAACTCCAGTTTCTTGCTAAACTGCTCATTTGTGTTTTGTATCACTTTATTTAGCTCTGCTAGCTTTTGATAGTATCTTTTATGAACTCACTGTTTTGTTTTAAGCCCATTATCTGTCTGGTTATATCTTCTGTGAGTTCCTTGAGCACTTGGTTAACCTGGTTTTTATCTCCTCTTATCATTTCAAGTATTTTAGTTGTACTGCTTTTGATTTCATCCCCTTTGCCCTGTGGATCAGCTTCACTGGAGTTGGGGTTTTGGTTGGAGGCATTATGTTTCCTTGGCCTCTCATCATTCTGTTGTGGATAGAAAGACGTGTGTGTGTGTGTGTGTGTGTGTGTGCACGGACTTGCATTTATGGGTGCGCATACACTGAGATTTGGGGGTCAATTATATTGGAAAGGCATCATTACCAGTATGCATATCTAATCATTTAGTGTCTGGTTTTCAGTAATACACTCTGAGCATGACTAATTATAGGCCTTTGCCTCTGTCTCAAGTTCCAACCACCTCTATTAATTTGGGAGGTAAAGGTACTGTATAATTGGCCCAGCACTCAGTTCTCTGAAAATGAGCCGTAGTATTGTTTATGACACAAAGACAATGCAAGTATTGGAATGCAGAGAAAACCCATTAATGGCAACAACTATACCACCCTGACAGTAGCAAAATTAGCAACAATAATAGAGTAATAAACCAACTGGATATTTCTTAATTTATATGTTTTTTTATTTTTTATTAATTTTATCGAGAAACAAATGGCAATGAGACAGTTTCAAAAGTGATTAGTAGGACAGTTTCAATCATGAATGCATTGCATATTGTTGTCTTCATAGTGGTTATTCATTGTACAAGATGCAGAAATGATATCCTGTCTAAATACTATTAGTATAAATCTTTCTTCTCATTCAATTAGGAGAAAGTAGCTATATGTCTATCCTAACTATTTTGTATATACAGATACAAAATGGTCCTTCATCTGTATCGCCTTTTTTTGTTTCGTTTTGTCAGAAATGAGTATTCTATTGCTATTTAAATATTGTAGGTGCGTGAATCCTGTAACTCAGTTGTGTCCCAAATTTTCTAATTGAGGAGATTATGGGGCCACAGAGGAAAGTAATCAATGATGTAGAATGTGCCTAAGGAGAGTCACATGAAGAGAAAACATTCTCTCAGGCTTTCACAGAGAGCACATTGGCCAAGCAATGGCCGTGACTCATCCACATGGCTGACACTGACAAAGGATCTACAAACTGTGTACAGGATTTCACTCTAAATCCTGAGGGGATTTTATTGACCTTGTCAGATACAAAAGTTACATTTCTTGTTATATAGGTCTTGCTTTATCTTGGTCTTAAACATCCAGCAGAAAAATATAGAAACAAGGTATAAAAAGTAAAGCCATATTAATATGCTGAGCTGTAAAAGGCTCAAGTCAACCACTTCTGACATTGCCAGTCCTACGGATAACCCACTACTATTATGGACTACTGAACTATATTGGATTACTTTACCCACTGGATATTGACATACCATAAGAACCAGTATTTTACCATCCCTAACCATAGTAAGGAAATCTGTAATTATAGTTTAAGGAAAACACTAGCACAGACTACTAAATGTAAGAACTATACCTCCACTAACAATAGAGAAGAATTCAACAGTAATGTTAGAGTTTACCATCTAAAGATTAAGAAAGCTTAATGATTATACTGGTAGAGACAAAGGCAATGGGGAAGGAGAGAATTAAAGAAATAAAATTTGAAAATTAAGTAAAAGATCAAGAAAGAAAAGTAAGATAAAGGTTCCTGTTAAACAGTTAAAGGAAACAAATACAATTAGATTAAAAAGTAACAGGAACAAAAAGGAAAAAAATAGCAAAATAAAGAATAAAATAGAAAAAAAATAAAAGGAAGTGGAAAAATACCTAAACCTCAAATTATATCCTCTTTAATTATTGTTTATTGATAAGGTCTCTTTTTAAGAACTTTCTAAAACAGTATTATCAACCTATTTCTCACCACATATTCATGGCCTCACCCAATCCTCTCCAAACAGATTAGCTAGAGATGGAGCCCAGGTGTGTGAAATTTAAACCCTCTTCTCCCCACCTGTCTTCTGCCAGTTAGTATATTATCCAACATGAAAGCTGATTTCTACAATATATGATACTATAACTATGAAATTGCCTACATTTTCTTCTTAGAAAACTAACTGGAATATATTTATTCCATAGGAAAAGGGACTTAGGGATTCAAACACCTATTTCTGTAAAGCAAAAGTTATTCATAAATGACGCACGTTACGAGTCACATCTTTATTTTATGGAAAAAAGTAAAGAAAATTTTCATAACAGAATATTAGGAAAATAACAATAGTTAATATACTGAGTATTGTTATCTTTAAAGTAGTTAATCAGAGTACAAGATATGGGCTTAAAAATTCTACAAATGATGTTAGCACAGACCTTTTCAGTGAACTAAGAGAAACTACTAGCATCACTGTCTTGTATTTTGTTTTTGTCATTTTCCCTTCCTTTTCCCTTTCCCCAACGCTTGTTCCTACTTCCTTTTGAACAATTTCTTCCCATCACATTATCTTTTGTACATTTTAGACCTTATTTACTATTTTAGTTTCTCACTGCAGAGAGACAATGAGATGTTTACATATGTGAATCTGATTTATTTCACTTATGCGTATGGCCTTCGATTGCATCCATTTACGTATAAAAGTCTCAAGATTATCCTTCCTTATGGCTGACTAATATTCCATTGTAGGAAAACACATCTTTTTTATCTGTTCCTTGGTTAATGGGCATTTGAGTTGATTCCAAGATTTAGCTATTACAAATTGACCAGTCACGTCTTTTAATATTGTTTATATGTAGATTATTACGCTTTAACAGTTAGCTAATACAATTTTAAAATATTTTTATTAAGGACTCAATTAAAGAAGTTCCTTGGAAAATCAGTGAAGAGAGCAAAGCACCTTGCTGAGGAATATGGTGAACGTGCTATAAATAAAGTTAAAAGTGTAAGAGATGAAGGTAAATAAAATAAAAATATTTTAACTGAATTTTCAACAAATGTATAGTTATCTAAATTTAGCCTATAGTTTACAAGAAACATTCCATTTTATTCATTTATGCCTCTATAACTAATATCTTGATTGTTATAGTAAATCATAATTTGCTTAATTTTATGAGTACAAAAATGAATTTATGTGTCTTACAAATACGAATTTGTAAATATTTTGTGATTATGACAGCCTACAAGGATTGTTTCATAGCTATAAATTAGTTTTATGATTATTTTAGTTTTTGTAACTATTTTCTAGATTAGGTAAATTCTGTAAGTTTGTAAACATGTTAATCACCTGTGCCTTTGTCATTATTATACTGATTTTTTAAATTTTAATGAGCACTTATATATTATTTTTTCTGTTCCAGACTCTGTTCTAAGCATTTTTACCTGTATTCATTTAATTCTATACAACACCTATGTGGTACCATCATTATGCCCATTATGCCCATGAGAAAATAGAGGTATATTAAGTTTGACTAACTTGCCCGTGGTCACACAGATAACAACAGGAGTTGATTTGAACCCACAAAGCTGTATGCTCTTAATATGATATAGAGTAATAGACAAAATTTGATTATTTAATGAAATTTCTTGGTATGTGAAAATATAGTAGCTATCTCTATATAGGTGGTAATAATTTCTGTTGCTTTACTCTTAGTGTTTCACACTGATCAAGATGATCCTTCATCAAGTGATGATGAAGGAATGCCCTATACAAGACCAGTTAAATTCAAAGCAGCACATGGTTTTAAAGGACCTTATGATTTTGATCAGATCAAAGTGGTGCAAGATCTTAGTGGGGAACATATGGTAAGTAATATTTTAGGATTCAAGCTTCTTCAGAGAAATATGTTAGCTCCTATAAAACTGATCTCTACTTATGTATATATTTTTGCTAGCCTGATTCAAGAAGTGTAAAATTATATTAATATAGTATAATGAATCTATAAACATCATATTTTCTTATTTTTGTTACAAAATACATGACATCTACAACTTAAAGGTGGAGAGGTTCATTTTGGTTCGTGGCTACAGTCCCTGGTCATTTGGCTGTAAAGCAGAATCACCATGGTCAAATAGCATGGCAAATGGAAGCTGTTCAGTCCATTCTGGCCAGGAAGCAGAGAAACAAGGGAGGAGCCAGGGAGCAAAATGCAGATCACACCCCCCCAGTGACACAACTCCAACCAGGCTCCACTCCTGACAGCAAATCAGCTGTGAAAACATCAGTGGATTAATCGAGCCACTGATGAGTATAGCACCACTGTGATACAGTCACCTTCCAAAAGCCCCATCTCTGAGTGAATACCAGTTTTGGGATCAGATCTCAATCATAGCAGTAATAATATAGAATATATTTCTGAGCTGTTTTCAAGAAGTAGTAATTCAAGTCCTTAAATTTTAGGTTTCTATAATTAAGAAAGCTTTGCAGAGTTACCAAAGTCTAAACCAGTTAAATTATATGGTGGTCTGTCGCTTTGAAAAATGTTTAATATGTTCCCTATTGTAATAATTTAAACAAATATTTCAAAACCCAATATATTTTAAAGTAAGACAGCTAAAACAAGGGGATAAGTAGCAGTTTGTGTTCTTTGTCAGAATTCAAATGAAGCAACACAGATGAAAGTACACAAGTTGTATTATAGTTGTTCTCTGAAAAATGTGGGAACATAGGAAAAGTAGCAGTAAAACTCAGAAGTGGACCATGATTTTGTCAGCTTGATCTGGTCAGATTTTAAGTCTAAAAGTTGATTTAGCTAGAAGGAAACAGCCATAAACATTAGTGGGCATCCAGTTTAGAATTTGAGTTTTGGTGCTTATCATGTACATATATGGTTGTAGTACTAAGGAACCTGATGATTTTTCTCATCCTTTATGGGGCCTCCTCATTATATCCTCTTTATATAAAATCTCATTGCAGTAAACTCTGAATGGCAATCTTTTGCTACATATGAATTTTGTAGGAATGAATGTTAGTCTAATAAATGAGCTATTGTTTCTAACTTAAATAAGCTTTTTGATACACCTGAACGTGTGTCACAGTAGGATTTATTCTTCAATCCCCCTTCCAACACACACTTTCCCATTGTTTCAGTGTCTAGAGATCCTAGCCCTGTACCATAGAGTCTTGTTTCTAGGGAGAAGTATGAGAAGAGACCACACCATTCTGATACTTCCTAGTGTCCAGTGCCATGAGAGTCATGGTGAGGGTGGCCCTTGTTCTTTCCCAGAAATGGTTAAGGATTGTTAGTGTTAAGCTGAGGGCTCTTTCTTCCCCCTTCATTTCAGCTAGGTGACAGAAATCCCACACTACGGTTGTATTTCTCTTCTTATGTTTTCTGGCAACCTCAGGTCTTTCATTTCATTAATGTATAGGATAATTTGAGGTCTTGAACTTGCTAGTTTAAATTATAGTAAAGTAGCTGGGTGTGGTAGTACACACCTGTAATGCTAGCACTCCGGAGATGAGGCAGGAGGATCATTGTGAGTTCTAGGCCAGCCAGGGCTACAAAAGGAGTTCCAAGTCAGCCTGAACTACATAGTGAGACCCTGTCTCAAAAAGACAAAAAGTAGACTGGGCATGGTGATGTGCACCTGTAATCCCAGCACTTGGGAGGCTGTAAACAGAAGGATCACTTTAAGTCTGATCTACATAGTGAGACCCTGTAGACTCTGTACTAAATACATAAAAAAAAATCAAGGGGCAGCCAAATACTCAGTGGATTAAAGTGCCTGCAAGCAGGCACAGGGGTCAGGGGTTCAATCCCCGGGCCTGCTGTGCTGGCCCTGCCCCCAGGGTGCACTGAGACAGCAATTGAGACTGGGTGTGGTGGTGCACATCTATCCCAGCTCTTGGGAGGCTGTAAACAGAAGAATCATTATTAGTCTGATCTAGTAGTGAGACCCTGAACACCCTGTAGGCCCTTCCCCAAAAATACAAAAAAAAAAATCAAAAAGACAAAAAATAAATAAATAAAAATAAACTACAGTAAACTGTAAGTATCTTATTTAGTAGTATTATAATGCCATTGAACTTCTAGTGATAAAGCAGTGCAAATAATGAGCATTATCTTAGTCTTTATTATTTAGCATAATTTTATTTATTTTTTAATTAATTTTATTGAGAAAGAAATAGCAATGAGACAGTTTCAAAACAGGTTAGTAGGACAGTTACAATAATTGATACATTGCATATTGTTGTCTTTGTAGTAGGTACTCATAGTACAAGATGTAGACATGATATCTTGTCGAAACACTATTAGTACAAATCTTTCTTCTCATTGAACTAAGGGAAAGTAGCTCTTAGTAGTAGTATATCCATCCTATTTTGTATATACAGATATATTTTTTTTCACTACAAAATGGTCCTTCACTTATATCCTCCTTTTTTGTTTAGTTTTGCAAGAGATGAGTGTTCTGTTGCAATTCAAATATTATAGGTGCATGAATTCTGCAAAATAATCCAATATAGTCCAGTAGTCTATATTAGTGGTGGGTTATCTGCAGAACTGGCGATGTCAGAAGTTGTTGACTTGCATTTAGCATAATTTTAAAGTTTGGCTTACTGTCTCTAAACTTTTAAGAGTAATACCTTTGAGCTTTCTTTTGTTTTTATAGGGAGCTGTTTGGACCATGAAATTTTCTCACTGTGGCCGATTACTTGCCTCAGCTGGACAAGATAATGTAGTGAGAATATGGGCTTTAAAACATGCTTTTGACTATTTCAACAATATGCGAATGAAATATAATACTGAAGGTATTTTTGAATTTTTACACTAAGTATAATCCAGGTTGAGAATCCTTAATCCCAAATTCAGAATGCTATGTAATCTGAAATTTGTTGAACATTATAAGTATGTTGCTCAAAAAGTTTTAAAGAATTTTAGGCTTTGGATTTTTAGATGGGGATATTTAACTGGTAAAAGCTATACAAATATTCCCTAAATCCAAGAAACTCTAAAATGTGATGAGATACGGAGCCTAAGTACCCTCCTTATCTGGCAGTTTCTGGAAGTAAACACTAATAAGTATAATAGCCAATACTAAAATGACAAGTGAAGAGCAAAAAGCCTCTAAACTCAATGTAAAGTATTATTCCTTTTAAAGTCTAGTGCATAGTTTGCTTCATCAACCACTGAAAATGTCATTTAGTCTTTTTAGCAATCTTTATTTCTGTCCAGGCTAAATGAAAGATCTTTTTAAGCTAGAAAAAGAATGAGAATATATACAAACACAGTTAGTAAAGAATGATTAAGAAAATAGTCTTGCAAAGCAAAGTCAAATGTCACTATAACAAAGAGATACATGAGAAAATATTAAGTGGCATCAAAAAACCTCAGAATATTATGTATATAAACACTGATTATTCTTATGTAAGAATATTTCTGTTTGGAATTATCAGGAAAGTATATAAAATTGATGTAAATTGGAGCTATAAGTTTAAGGGATTCTTTTTGTAATTATTATTTGTGTAATACATTTTCTCCACAAACTGTTCTCCTCACAATCACCTAAATCTGGAAAGACAACATTTTAAGGGATTTGGAGAAAGGAGAACACAGATAGCCAAGGTAACAATATAGAATACAGAACACCAGTTTGCACAACACACAAGTTCTGAGAGATTCACTTACTTGGCATGCTAGGCACTCTGTTTTTTTGAAAACCCCTGTTAATTTATTTCTGTATTATTTTGTAACATATAATTGAAAATGATGATGAATTTGACAAAAAGTTAGACTGTGTTCACTATGCAGTGAGTTTTTTTAGATTTAGCTGTTTTTCACTTCTTTTATTGCCTTGCCTGGAGCAATAGAACTATTTAAGTGGCCTTTGAGACATAACACTACCCAGACCTTTTCTTGCCCTTTATTGTTCTTGCTACTTGTTATTGTCAGTGTGAATGTGTTCATTATGAATACTGTGAATTTAACAGCATTTTGATCAGTCAAATGGTTAATTCATTTCATAAGAATGTTATTTTAAAATGACAAAAACAGGTCTGGGAGTGTATTTCAATGGCAGAGTGCTTGCCTAGCATGCATGAGGCCTTGGGTTCAATCTCTGGCATCATACACAAAAAAGACGCAAACAAATATTATGGGACTATATTTGTTTAGAAAATGCATTTTTCCATAATGTCATGTTCTCTGACTGTTAATTAGGAATTACTGTGTGATTTCTGAATATTTTGCGTGCATGAGTATATGTACACAATATGCCTTTTTACAACTATTATGCTGTTTTTAGGACGTGTGTCTCCATCACCTTCTCAGGAAAGTCTAAATTCATCAAAATCTGATACAGATACAGGGGTATGTTCATCATTTTATGGTTACTACTATGAAATACTATGATTTATTTACCATAAAGTAATTTTCTGTTCAGTAGGAATGCTAGTCACATAAAGCCAATTAAAATATATATAAAATATATTTAACATTAAATATATGTAAGAATAATTTTATAATTAAAATTAAATATAATCATTAGAAATAAGTTTTTTCTGTTATATAGACATTTCTCATTTATCCACTGAGTTCCAGGGCCAGGGAGATGGCTCAGTAGAATAAGTGCCTCCCTGGCAAGCGCAAGGGTCTGAGTTCAATCTCCAGTTCCGCAAAAAAAAAAAAAAAAATCCACTTAGTTCCTTTCCTGAAACTAGGTTATTAATTGAATTGGTCAATAAATGAGTAGTTAGTGGTAAATACTGTGTATTTTATAATATTCAGAACAAAGAAGTAGTTAAAGGAAACTCCAAATTGATGACCACTTTTATTTGTATGTAGTACTGTAATGTATAACAACAAAAAACTACAGTACTATATAAAGAAGGTATACTGTACAAAAATTCATTGAGTCATATAAACAAGAAAATAAGATGTACAAAACTGTACAAAAAAAAAGATGGACTGTAAGTCCCAACAGCACATCTCAGTCCTAAGGTCACATGGTAGTTAACCAGTTAAACAAGAAGTACTTGTAATTGATAAAAGTTGCTAGGTAATTGGCAGTATTTCTTAAGATACCACACAATGAATGTAAACTCACATGAAACAAATCACCTCCCCTAAGATCCATATTAGATATTTTAAAAATAATAGATGCCATTTTATGGTTGAAAACTTTCTCATAGCTCTTTATTACCTTCAGGGTAAAGTCCATGCTAATAGTGCCTTATCTGACCTATTAAACTTTGTTCTAATTGCCTAGTGCTTATGTTTCCTACTTGCCTTCCAGATAGAAGCTTGTATCCTAAACACTGTACATTGTGTTTGCTTTACCCATAATGTCTTTTCTGGCCTTCTGTTGTTGCTGTGATTGTTTTGTTGCTTTTGAGATAGGTTATCACTATGTTAGTCCATGCTAGCCTTAATCTCACAGTGAACTCTCACTAAGATTGCAGGCCTGTGCTTGCAAACCTGACTTCTATACCTTTCTTCAGAGCAAAGCTCCACTCATTCTTTAAGATTCAGCTCAGATATCTTACTTTCCCCTATTATTTTCCCTGAATACAGCAAGCGAAGTTGTTCGCTTTTGTTCTGATAGTGTGTCATACATATTTAATATTAATATTATTTACCAAATCTTACTTGTCAGTCTGTCTTCCTTGCGACTTAAGGCAAAAAATGTACTTAACAGATTTAGTGCCCTTAAACTGTAACCCTGTGGTGATTGTTGTGTGCCTACAATCAGTGTAGAATCCCTGCTGCTCTTCCCTTATAGTGCTGCCCATATCTGGGTGCCTACAGTCTCCCTTCATTTCACTTAACATTCTTCATGGCCTGCTTCCTCCATAAAGCTTTCACTGACTAATAAAGAGGTGAAAATTTTAGCTACTTTGCTTTAATGAAAAGGGTTTGCTTTTATTAGTTTAATTTTTCATAGTTTCCAGGCATTGATTAGTATTAAAAACAGGAACCATCTGTACCAACTTTTATTATCTTCATTGTAATCATCTCAGATTTTTGAGTATGTCCGTCTACTTTAAAAATCCTAAATAAGTACAATTTTGATTAAATACAGGGCCTTTCCAATGAGGACTGTCATATCTCTTTAACATAATAATGAGTAATCCTTTGGTATAGTGTGATTTTTTTTCTGGAATAGTTGAATGGTTTATATCTTGTTTTGGGCAAAGATCATTTGGGATTTCTTTCACTTGTATCATTCTATTTGGAAACAGTTAAAAGAGGTAATGATTTCATAGGGCATTGAAGTTTGGTATCTGGAATTATCTTTTAATCTAGCCCTAGATGAGGTAAGGCAAAGTGTGTACAGTGGAGTTTTATTTTCCTGATGTATATGTGGTTATTCCCTTGTGATAGTATTGTTTTCTCTTTTGAAATAGTTTCTTTTGTTTTCTCATCATCCACATAAAATAGAATATATAAAAGTACCCATTATAGTTGAGCTTGGTATGCATGCTTGTAATCCTAACACTTGGGAGGCTGGAACAGGAGGATCTCTGCAAGATCAAGTGTACATGATTCTTAGAAATACCAAACAGCTAACAAGTTCTATCCCATTAGTACATATTAACACCAGAATTAGAACTCAGCTCTATTCTGTCTCTGTAACATACACTCTTAACTATTAATCTTCACTATTTGGTATCTTAAGATCTGGGACTTTGTCTTCATTCAATCCAAAAAAATATTTATTGAGTACCATTGAGTACCTACGGTGTAACAATTACTTTTGTAGGAGCCATAGATTTAAGAAGTGAACAAAGGAGACAAAACTCTTTGTTGTTATAAAGGTTACATCCTAAGGGAAGAAGATAGAAAAACAAGATAGGTAAATTTTGTAATATATTAGAAGATAATTTTAAACCTCTTTAGTAAGGTGTGATTGATGTACAAAAACTCCTGCAAATTTACTATATACAATTTGGTGAGTTCAGAAGTGAATATACAGCCATGAGCCCATCACCAGAATCTATACCATAAACCTATCAACTCCAAAAATTTCATTCTATTCTCTTGCTCTTTAAAATCATCACTCTAGCACATTTTAAGTGTATAGTACATGATTAATTGTAGTCATTGTATTATGCAATAGATTTCTAGGACTTTCTCATTTTATATAACTAAAACTGTACCTTTTCTCACTAGTATTGCTCATTTCCCCCTCCTCTGGTCCCTGGCAACCACCATCCCACTCTGCTTCTGTAAGTGTATTCACTGCACTGTACAAGTGATATTAGCACTTGTCCTTCTATGACTGACTTACTTCACTTACCTTATCTTTTTGATCCGTTCACTCATTTGTCCATGGATATTCAGGTTACCTGCATATCCTAACTATTGTGAATAGTGCTGCAGTGTACATGAGAATAAGATACCTCTAAGATCCTGGATTCAGTTCCTTTGTATATTGTATAGAGGACAGTGGGATTACTGGGTCTTATCCTGGCTCTAGTTTTAATTGTTTGAGGAACCTCCATACTGCTTTCCATATTGGCTATGCTAATTTATATTCACACGGACACTATGCAAGCATTATTCTTTCTCTACATTCCTTGCAAGACTGCTTTTTATAATTGCCATCCTAACAGGTACGAAGGAATACATCATTGTGATTTTTGTTCTTGATTATTTAATGATGTTGAATGAGTGCCTTTTCATAGACCTTTTAACTGTATGTCTTTGGAAACTGTCCAGTTCCTTTGCCCATTTAAATAAGTTATTTGGTTTGGTTCTACCTTGGTTTTTTTACTATTCAGTTGTAGGAGTTCTTTATGTATTTGGATATTAACTTTTATCCATATATTTAGTTTATAAATATTTCCCCCTCCCATTTTTAATTGGACAATTGTTTACCTTTGTGCAGAAAGCTTTTTGTTTTTAGCTTGATGTATAGTAGTCTTTCTTTACCCTTGGAAAATACATTCAGAAACTTCCAATGGATGCCTTAAACCATGATTGTTATCAAACACAATATTTGCTGTGTAACAGTTTTAGAATTATGACCATTATAGTAGATTGCAAACTGGTTGTCAAGTTGTATCACCCATCTGAACTGCACCTGTGTGGTGCTGGGTGTGGAAAGCCTACCCAAGGGTTGTTGTCAGCAGCATAAGAGACAGTACTGGAGAAGGGCAGCAGGCGAAGAAGAGAAAGGCTGTTAGGGAAACTGTTTGAGAGGCTATTGGAGAGCTGTTGGAAGCTGCTGGTTCCTTTGGGCTATTATACTAGAGGACCTTTTCATACTGGCTTTCCTGATGAATCTGGATCTTCTCGGAGGAGAAGGAGCTCAGGACCTCATTGTCACTGAGAATAGCTATGATTCACTTTGGGGGACCTCTAGTTCTCACCTTGAGCATCGCTTCCTGGCCCTGTAGGGGAGTGTGGGACTCTATGCTCAATCTCCTGGAGAAGCTTGTCACATTGGCTTTCCTGATGGGAACTCAGCTTTCTTCATCATTGGAGGAGCTTGGGACCTCACTGTTGCTTTGGATACTGTGGTACTTTTTGGAAGAGCTCTGGTTATTACCTTGAGCATTGCTTCCTGGCTCCAGTTCAAATCCCTCAGCCTGCTAGCATAGTTCCTTCATCCCACTGGAATAGACTTTCTAGCTTCCACCACTGACCTTTGGGCCTACCCAGCACAGATCTGTGAAATAGGCCTGCATGAGACATTGTCATGAGCTCTAGACTTCCAGTTGGATTCGTGAGAGACATTGTTATAGACTGTAGGTCTTCAGCTGGACTCATGCAGTACACTGTTGTGGGACCCAGGCCCCCAGCTATATTCTTTGGTCTTTAGTGTGGGGACAGATTTCCTACACTCTTGGCATATGATTCTTAGGGTGATTCATTATAAAAATCTTATAAACTACGTGTCCTGTATTGTATTGTTCCCCTTTGCAGAAACTCCAAACCATGGCAACCATTTTTAGTGTGTTCATTCTTTCTATCTTAGAGCAAGGGATATCTCTCCATTTTTTGATGTACTCTTCTATTTCCTTTTTTCAGATTATTATGCTTTACAATGCAGAAATCGTTTACTTCCTTTGTAGATAGATTGTACGTATTTTTTTTTTTTTTTTTTGGTGCTATTACAAAAGGTATAGTTTTCTAATTTCTTTCTCGGCAAGTTTGTTATTTGTGTACAAGGATTTTTGAATATTGAATTTATATTCAGTTATGACTGAATTTGGTTATTAAACCTATAAGTCTTTGGTGGAATTTTTTGAATCTTCTATGTAGAATATCATGTCATCTGCAGATAATGATAATTTAACATTTTCCTTTCCTATCTTTATTCTTTTAATTTTTCTCTCTTCTCTAATTGTTTGGTTTTTGTTTTT